TATCCTCTAATTTACTTTCTTTTTAATCTTTTCTTTTATAGAAACTTTTTAATTTATATCTACTCCGATATACAAAGAAAATAAAAAGACGAAATAAGTAAAAGTCAAACTAAAGAGCAGGAAGAGTCGTAACTCGTAATCGAAGAGCAGGTCATGCGCCGGAAAAAGAAAAGCATCAAGAACAACAAACCTAACTAATACCCTGTAAAGTGAAACTAATTACAAAAATGATGGGTTGTACCATGAGCATGGTACAGCCAGCTGTACCATCTAATTTGCCTTCAAACGTCATGTGCAATCTTTTTGGACTAGAAAACTGAAAAGCTCATGTGTCGTGATTAAATGTGGTTATGGTCCCAGAATGGTCCCAGTTGGGATTAGGGCACCCAGTTTTCGAACTGTGATCGGTACCAGAATATAAAGTTCCAGACCGGGACCCAATGGATAGGAAAAGAAGTTCCTGTCCGGCTATCCAAGCCTCCTTTTTTTTTAGAATGGGACCAGTCTGCTATGGTACCAGGTTGGTCCCAATTTTTCTGTTTTTACATGAAACCATTGGAATCATTTTATTATGGTTAATTAAGGTCTATTCAAAAGCTTTAAGGGTTGAGTTTGAAGAGGGGAGCTGAGAGGGACAGAGGGTTTAAAGGTAAATAAAATAAAAAGGATTGAACCGGGGTCGGTTGGGAGGATGGGATTGGCTTAGAGGTCCCGATTCTGGTTCTGGAGCTCAATATTTTTTCCCAAAAACGGAGGCCTGGACAGCCGGACAAGGACCTCTTTTCCCATCGATTGGTCCAGATCTGGGACATTATTTTCTGGTCCCGATCACAATTCGAAAAAGTAGGGGTCCTAATCCCAACGGGACCATATCCACCTCTAAAAGCTTTTCTAATCACTGGATCACCCATAGACGATGCATACACATCCAAATAACTTATAGTATGGTCTAAAAGTTAATTTGAAATGCATACAGATCATTTAATTCAAATGTTAATACAATGTGCTTGACTTCACCGATTTTTAATTATTTTTTCTTACTCACTTCTATCTTTATGTCTATAATTTTTCTGCTTCTTTTTTACGGTTTTGAACTGGAGGTCAGGGAAAAGGAGTTGAACGAGCCTGAGGTAAATAGAGCTGAAACTTGATTCATGAAGTTCTGAACCCGAGACCTTCCGACTCCCGCATGGTAGAGTGAGTTGACGATCAATTGAACTGGATCGCTTCGTCAAAAGTGCTTAAGATTATTTGAAAGGTGCCGAAATCAATGTAAGTGTACATACACTAGGTGTCTGTATACACACAAAAGTGTCTGTACGTGCACATGTATTTTTGTCTGTGCGCAGACATGTTTACATACAAATTTTGTTCACACATAAAATTTTTGTTCACGTAGATAAATTTTGTCGAAAAGTGTCTGTACCTATACTTTTTGCCTATGTCAAGAGTAAATAAATAGAATGTAATATGAAGTGTAACCGAGAATGTACAAATAGATTTTTTTGAATTTAAAAACGTGCACAACAAATGTACAATTTTATACCAATGATGCTTGATGTACCCACTCTTATACCCACCTTATATCCACCATGTTTGTGCAAAATATTATCTGGTGAACCGGGATTCACAGACAAAAAAAACACTTCACAAATATAGGTGGGTACAAAAGTGGGTATAAGAGTGGTACAAACATCATTTTTTATTTTATACACATTAAATATTGTTGTAGAACAATTCTTGAAGAGGCAATAAGCCATTACGGCACTAAAATACTGAAATGAGTAAGGTTTGGTGATTTGTCACCATGTTTTGTGATGGCTAGCATGTTTGCGTAGCTATAGGTAGTTTTTGGAGGTGACTGGGTATCCTTGCTTGGGATGACCCATATGATCTGTTTTGCTGCTGTACAGATGTACATATACACTTTGGATATACATATATTTACCGTTTATCCAAAAAAAGAGTAAGGTTTGGTCGGTGGGATCTCTTCTGAGTAATGCCCCGATAGGACACTAACAACACGTATGGTTGTGTCATGTGAGGCATGTGGTGACAAGGGTCTATAATTGAATCAATTGGGCTTGGGTACACACAACTCATACACACACCTACACAATATAAATAGGCCCAAAAATTACCATTGTTTTTACCCCTCCCTCACGTGCGCATACATCCCCTCCACACCTCCCCTCTATTCTCGCAGCTCCCTCCCTCCCGCGTCGTTTTTTTCTTTCGCGCAGCAGAGGTGTCGACGAGAAGAAGCTTAAAAAAATGGATTTTTCTGGCTTTGAGAATGAGAATATCATTGATACTACGGTGGATGATTTTTGGACTGAATGGGCTGAAACAACCGGTGGTTCTCGAGGTGAAGGAGATATTCCGGCGGCGGCAGAAGTTGAGCGAGAACCAGCCGCGGCCGCGGCTGACCTTGACGGAGAACCGGAGGCGACGGCTGACCTTGACGGAGAACCGGCCATGGACGACGTCCCTGAGCTTGGTATGAGTTTGTGTTGTTGCTTTCATTGGTTTTGAACTTAAATATATGTTTGTTCTTCACAGACAATTATTTGTGTTTGTGTAGTGTATATAAATTGTCTGTGAGTAAATATACTTATGTCTGTGCGTAAAGTGTATATAAATTGTCTGTGTTCAAAATGTTATAATTTTCATTATATCTGTGTACATTGAGTTTAAATGTCTGTGTCCATATATACTTTTGTCTGTGAGTAAATATACTTATGTCTGTGCGTAAATATATCACGGCCTCTGCGTAATTACACTTCTGTTTGTAATGTCTGTGTGTCAATATTCTTCTGTTTGTAATGTCTGTGTGTCGATATTCCTCTGTCTGTGTTTATATATACTTCTGTCTGTGCATAAATATACCTTTGCCTGTGTGCATAAATATACTTCCCTCATTGCATGTTGACATGGACACATTGTTTATTCGTTGAATTACGTTAATGTCGATCTTAGATGGAGAAATTCAGCAAAATGAGAGTGATGATGGATCTATAAAAGCTTCGGATGACAGTATGGAATTTGATAGCAAAGAAGCGGTGTATGCTTTCTACAAGGCATATGGGAAGCACAAACACAAAAATTAGGAGTAATTAGGTGTACCACGAAACACAAAAATGGAGTAGATATAGATGCAAGCTCAAAGCCCCGGATTTTTCTATGTCCTTGACTTAGACGACGAGTCTCGATTGCGTAATGTGTTTTGGGCCGATAGTCGATGTAGATATGCATACAAAGATTTTGGAGATGTCATAACCTTTGACACAACCTACCTCACGAATCGGTATGACATGCCTTTTGCACCATTTGTGGGTGTTAATCTACTTCTTGCATTGGAAATGGTATTTGAGAATATGACATTCATTATCAATTCTCAAGCTATGTTACAAGAATTGGATCGGACCAGGCTGGTCAATCCGGAACCCGGCAACCTGGAACCTAAACAAGTCTGGTTGACTACCAACTCAAAAATACACTAAAACTTGCTTCTACCCGATAACCCGTTATGACCCGAAACCGCCAAAATCCGGAAAACCCGTGATAACATGAAAAACCCGGCTGAAAATTTAGGGCCTGTTTACTAACAAAGAAATCTCTGTTAGTAAACAAGCCCTTAATTTTGGAGCAGTAGGAAGTCAAACTTCTGTTAATTGTGGTAGAGAACACTACGATCGCATCTTATGAAGGCTAGATCTCAATCTCGAATATAATAGAGTTTTGAAGTGTTGTTTAGGGCTCGTTTATTTGGAGAGGGAGGGTTCTCAATCTTAACAAAGTAATTTTGTATAATTTAAAAATCTTAACAAAGTGACATGCTTATTGAATCATATTATTAAAACAATTCAAGTAATTTCAAAATTATAAAAAATATTCTTAAAGGGAGTTTTGCGTGTGAATATTTATAACAAAAATGAATTTGACACACTTTTTGCAAGTAAAGACTAAAGACCAGCTCTGATAAATAAGTGTATATATACTCACTCCCATAGTCCCTTGCGCCCATGCACAGGGGCGGAGCCAAGGAGGTGGTCAGACGACCCTGCTGAAAGTTTGAAAGTATAGAGCTCTGAAATATTTTCGATTTGATATATTATGGCCCCTGTAACTCATTACGAGTAAAAAGTTATGACTTCTGCAAAATCAGCACTATCTAAACGTAAAACTAACAAAATTTGATGCATACTATACTATAGATTATTTTCCCAACTTTTGAAAATAGGGGATAATTCACTCAATATTTATGTGACACGACTCAGAAACTAAGTAAAAACAATCTATCTTATTGCTACGAGTGCCTATTTATCTAACTGCATATCAAATATTCAAATTGGACATTGTTTTAAAATGATCTAACATTTTCTTTCTGTATATAGGTTGAGTTTTGACCGATAAGCCCTTTTTCGGGCTCGGCGCCCATGCACATTGAGAAAGTAAGTCTGCCCAGGAGGGAATGTATTATTGATGCCGACATAAAGACATAAAGTGTGATCAGCTAAGCAACTAAATAACTACATTCCGAATATCAAAAATAAAAATAAAAATAAAATAAGATCTAAAGAAATAAAAAAACCGATGATCTGCAATTCTATTTACATTATCTAATATCCAATGCTACAAAATACTAATAATAAAGATTATACTATGTTTAGCCAAATCTCAAATTTGAAGTAGTGCTACGTACTTCCTCAGTTTCTTAAAAGTTGCTACATTAGGATTTTTTTTAATAATATATAAAATCAAATCATTATGCATAAAATATTATTAAATTTCTTTTGATGTGAATTTTCAAAATATTAACTTTTTTTTATAATTTTTACTAATACGTAATTAGATATAATTACGGTCAAAGTTGCGTGTTGACAAACGTGAAAGTCAAATTATTGCAACTATTAAAGAACAGAGGAAGTATAACATTATGAAAGTTATAAATTTTATAATTTTACGAAAGAACTTTTAACAAAAAATATGTTCATGTCATTTTTATATTACACTAATTTCTAATAAATATATATTATTGGTCAAAAGTTTTGAAAATAGTTACTCAGGATAACTTCCATAACATAGGATATATATAATCAACCATCACTTTGATGACTCTCCAATGCCCACATTAAAATCAGTACTCCTGAGATAATAAATCACTGGAAGTGACAAATGTGCCATGAAAACCATAGGGAACTCTTGAGGGCAATTTCAGAGTTGCTTCCAGCTTAAGACTCTCTGCATTGACTATTTGAAGCTCTGATATCCATTCTTTCTCATCATGCACAAAGACCAAGATATACCCATCATCTTCTTCCTGCCCAGAAACTCCGGGAAAGAAAAACGGCTCGCCGCCATATTTCTCATCTCCGTACACGAATTTCTTGACTTCTCCGGTAAAAAGATCAACTTTTGCAAAACCAGAGACCTTAGGCCATGGCTCTGCAATTGCTAGATATGCGTATCTTGTTTTCCTCCCCAGCTTGTTTCTGTTCACCATTCCTGCTTCCAGATTCACCTCCTCCGATGGGTTTTGAATGATTGACTTTCTAGTTGACTTCCCAGTTCTCAGGTTTAATCTGATTTCTGACAGAATGCTCTTCAACCCTTCGCCGGAATCGTTGAAAATGGAGTCCGGCGGCGTCATACACGATCCGATCACCACAATCTCGTCCGTCTCTGTTTCTTCCCAGGCGTTCCAGAGATGGAAGCAGAAGCAATTCTCCACTTCTATCCATTGAATCTGGGATGAATCTTTGGCGTACTTGTTTAGTACTCCGAACCTGGGAATCTTGTTCTTGTCGTAGACCACCGGAGAGCCGCCGCGGATCATCTCGGAGATGTTGAACACCATTTGCTGGTCGGGGACGATGATGAAATTCTCCGTGATGGCGAAGTCGTGAATCATGGTGGGATCTTTGACGGGGATTTCAATGTCTTCTGATTTCTTCCCGTTCTTCGAAAACATGAAGTACTTGAGGTAAGGCTTGTGGATCACGTCGTAGCTGAGGGCGAAGAGCTCGCCGGAAACAGGGTCGATTTTCGGGTGGGCGATCATTTTGGACTTCAATTGCCCGTCAAAATTGTATCTTTCCACGGTTTTCAGGTCGCCGGAGGGTGTTATATGGACGTGGTACGGCAAATCGTCCTCCGACATTGCCAGGAGGCGGTTGTTGAAGTAAACCAGACTGGTGTTGGCAACTCCGGTGCCGGAACTGCTATCGAAGAGCCCGAAAGCTCCACGGGCCAAGAAAAGGAGGATTCTTGCTATCCCGGAGTGCCCGTGGAGCTCGCCGATAGCTTTGGGGAAGAAAGGGCGTCCCAAGGCACGTTCTTGAACCAGCCGACGCGTCTCCGTGAACCGACACGCGTAACTGGCGGCGCCTTTCTCAAACTTCACGGCGTGGATCATCCCATCCCCGTCGAATAAGTGGTGCCCGGTAACCGGCTCGAACTGCGGGTTTGCTCCGTTACGGACGTAGACGCCGTCAATGCACTCCAGAATGTTCCCGGCTACCGGGAGTGCGTGGCAGACGGCGTTCTCCGGCACCGGAGCGAAATTCCCGTCGATTTGAACTCTGGGGTCGATTGTTTTTGGAAAAGGGTGTCTGAGTTCATGCTCTGTAATCCTTCTCTCCACTGCATCCAAAGCCGCCGCCGCTGCTCTCTGCAAAAAATTCCATCGACGGTCCGGAGAAGAAGAAACAGAAGCTTCTTCTTGTTCTTTAGGATATGAAATCGTAGGAGAAGTTCGGCTTGGCTCTGGAGTGGGGATTGTATCGGCAGCAGAAGATTTGTTGGGGAAATGGAACATAGAAAGGGATTGAACGGAGTATTTGGGCTGGTGGGATGAAAAAGAAAGACATGAAGAAGAAGAACTCATTACCTTCTTAGAAGACTGAAGACTGCATAATTTGAGCTTAAACAAATAAGGTTTAGTATTGGTAACAGTAGGACTGATCATGGCTGTTTGTTAATCTGCGGTTTGGTCTGGTTGAGACTTCAGAGAGAAGAATGGGAAAAAATTATGGAGAGGAGGTATAGATATAGGGGTGCGCCGATCTGATTTTTAAAACTACTTTAGCTCCCAGAATCTGTTTTCATAGAAGTTGGGAACCATCTGAAAACGGATTCTAAAATCAAAATAAGTTTTTTTTAGAAACACAAAATGAGTTCCAAACACATGAGAAAGAGAGGAGTGGGGGCAAAGAGGTCCACTTATATGAGAATGAGATTACACACGTGGTTCAATATGGAAAAGCCACTGTGGAGAACTGGAGAAGTAGCAAAAGAAGAAATCTCTGGAAAGTCACACTGGTCCTGTCAAGCGTTGACACATGCCCACGATTGTATTCGGTCCTATACGTTTTTTCGGTTGGAATGCACTTTTTTTTATTATATTTACTTTTTTGCAACAATTTTTATGATATTTATGTTCCACCGCTTTGCAAATGACTCGTTGTTTGGTGAGATGTTAGATTGAAGTACCTACATAATATTTTAGATGCAATTGTATAAAAGTTAAAAAATAACTTGATAATGATCTAATTAGCTGAAAACATTAAACAAAATGTAAAATACTTCCTCCGTCCCATTTTACATGTCTTACTTTTCTTTTTGGGTTGTCCCAAAACAAGTGTCCACTTTTCTTTTTGGGAAAGAAATATGTGCCTACACGAATTCACTTTATTATACTCAAACATCAACCACAACTTTTACTTTTTCAACCACTTCATTAATAACCGTGTCAAGTCAAATTAAGACACATAAAACGGGACGGAGGTAGTAAGATATTATTATAATAGCAAACTCAAAAATAAGTGGTATAAATCAAGAGTAAAATATCATGCAATGGAATAGGTGTGCATGTAAGCTCATGAAATTGTCAACAGAAGATACAAGTTATTACTACGTATAAATTTCTTTGTATACAGTATTCAAGACATATGCGATTGGTCATCTTGTCCATCTCTGTCACAACAGATTTCAATCCACATCGGAACTTTCCTCTCAAACCTCCACATACGCATGTCCATGTGTAAGAAAAGGGCAGCGGAGGAAGATTCCAACTTTTTCAATGATTGGCTCTAACTCTAGCTTATCTATAGTCATTACACATCTAATCGCTATTGTGTTGAAAAGTGAGATGAAATCTAACGCCTAATGGTGTTAAAATAAGTAGAAATATGAGACGTAGAATAGACCAAAATCTAACTCTTTTTTTACAACAATTGATTAAATAATCATTGTAAACCTTCTCAAATATGAAACATATCTATCCTTTAGGGTTTTCCAAAAAAAATCTATCCCTTAAGGTCGTCGGTGAGAAAATTATTTGATAAGCATCCCATAGAATAGATCGAATTATAGGAGGTGTTTTGTAACACCAACCCCAAATGTATTTACTTTTACGTAAATGATGTAATAAACCTTATGGAATGATTTATGAATTTACGAAGTTGTAAATTTTTATTTATTCTTTCGCGTGAATAGTAAATTGCACGTGGGACCCACACCGGGAGCGGGGGCCGCCCGACATTCCCGAGACCATATATTTTATTCATCTTGGTCTAGATAATAAATATATATTGGTGGATATTTCATTTGGGCCATGGAAAGGCCCGGAGTTGACCGATTGGTCAAAAGAAGCCCAAATTACCGGTACTGGTAATTTAACAGATAACAGCCCGAAAATGAATTTCGGAGACTTCTAAATTAATGTTTTGAAATATATATTATTTCAAGAGGCCATTACGACTGGGAACACGTAATATATTTTATTTGACCCGATAAAATAAAATATAATTAAAACAGTCCGAAAAATACAACTTTCGGGGCCGAATGTACATCTTGGGACACAAAGGGATGACCTCCCACATGAGTGGGGGCCACCCCACGTTTTTTGTGTGCTCAACATGACCTATGGGGGCTGGAATGACAAAATATTATGTGAAGGAGGATCATTTGGCATCTAAAGTACCAAGGAGGACCCCTCACCCTCTCTTATTTGTCATTTGAGACAAAAGTGAGTGTCCTCTCTCCCACCTATCATCAACCTCGACCAGCCTCATCAAAAAAGGATAAGGAAGCTCTCAAACCATCCTCCATAGCTGCAAAATTCGAGCTCAAGCATAAGTGCTCAAAGAAGGAAGATTAAAGAGGGAAAAAGTTGGGAAAAGTGTGAATAATTAAGGTAATGACCTTATTATAACTTCTCCTTTATTTTTCTTCTACCATATGAGGTATATATCATGTGAAGGACCCTTAGTATGGTTCCACATGTTATAAGTATGGATTTATGGGTAGGAAGATGGTTCTATGTCCAAGAACGGACTTAGAGACCAAAACTACCGGTTCACCGGAAAATAACCTTTTAGAGGTTATTTGTATTAATATGAGTTTTATGATTATAAAACCTTGCTAGGCACTTGTAAAGGTTATTTCAAGTGATTTCACAAAGTTGGAAAAGTCGCCGGAGTTGTCGCCGGAGTTGACCAAAAGTCGCCGGAGTCTCACCGGAGTTCAACCAAGAAGGGTAGAACTTCTTAACGCTAGTTCAAGGTGAGTGGACGGCTTAATATCTTATAACTTTTGGGTTAATTATGAGATTACCTAAATAAATGTTATATGAGTTCATAATGATGTTTAAAAGATATTTAAACATGTGATTAGCGAATAGAGTTAAGTTTGTATGAAAGAAATTAATTGTTGATGCATGGAATATGATATGAAGAATTATATGAAATGCATATTTGTTTGAAGTGTATTAGAAGCACAAATGAATATCATTAACTTAATTATATGATGATTAAGTTGATACACACAAGACATGAAATGGCGGTCAACGAAAACGTTGACCGATGGACAAAGGATTTAATTAATACCGGTTGGTATTAATTAATTATAAATCTATATAAATGCATGACTTTGCATGGATTGTGATACATAAGCTTTATGTATTGAATTAGTTATGAGTAACTAAGTATGATATAGACTCTATCTAGGTTGATAGGAGGTTGATCATAGGGAAATATTTTGGTGGAGGACCCTAGTACTTAAAAGTACTTAACACTCAAAACTTGGTGGAGGACCCTAGTACTTAAAAGTACTTAACACTCAAACTTGGTGGAGGACCCTAGGACTTTAAGTCCTTAACACTCAAACTTGGTGGAGGACCCTAGTACTTAAAAGTACTTAACACTCAAAACTTGGTGGAGGACCCTAGTACCTAAAAGTACTTAACACTCAAAACTTGGTGGAGGACCCTAGGACTTAAAGTCCTTAACACTCAAACTTGGTGGAGGACCCTAGTACTTAAAAATACTTAACACTCAAAACTTGGTGGAGGACCCTAGGACTTATGAGTCCTTAACACTCACAAACCGGTAGAGTATCCAAGGATTATGATCCAAAAACTCATAGATTATGATATACAAATAGGGACAAGGAGGAGTCCTATACACTCATAGGTATATGGGTGGGTTGGGGTTTTTAGTCAAGAATATTGACTATTACTATTTTTCCCAAATAAAATGGTGATCTACGGATCGGATATTTTCCAAGTATATATATACTAATAAGTATTTCATAACTTGGGGGAAAGACTATTTATTTAAGTATCACCCTATGTTTGGGTCTTATACTTGAAACGCTAGTTATTCTATATTTAGCCTGCTACTCGCTCGGTACTTGTACTGACACCTTCGGGGGGCCCCACCATTTTCAGGTTGAAGCTAGGGCTTGCTACTTGCACCTTCTCACGGGTGGTATCATATCGGGAAGACGTGGTTCGTGCTTTCCTTATTTTCTTTCAAACTACCGAACACTTGCTCATGGATATTTGTTTTACTATAAACACTTTTTGGACTTGCATGCCCATGTTGTTGGCCGGTTGTGGCTCATGACTTACCGTTGAATATTATATATATATATATATATGATGGTCCCGGATAGGGTAAAAGTCTAGAGGGGGGGGGTGAATAGACTTTTAAATCTTTTTCAATTTAATGAAGTTTTTCCTCTAGATGAATTGATCTATAATCTTTTGAGAGATTAATAGATGCACAGCGGAAGTCTTTACCCTTTTTCTAATGATTGTGTGACAACTTTCTACCTTGAATGATGTTTGGACTTTAAGCTGTGAGCAGTTGGCTTGGCAGTTGCCTGGATGGTAGGAAACTGCTGAGGCAACTGCCAGTTGAAAATAGGAGTTTGAGAAAGATGATAATATGGCCTTGCAGATAATGATGAGGGTTTTCTGAATATATGTTGAGCAGAAGATAGTAAAGAGGTTTTGCCTGAGCAGTGGTCTGAGCAGTTGGGTAATCCCAGGAAACTGCTAAGCCGTCTGCTGCTTATGAGGAGGTATCTCTGAGGACTGACCAACCACACCTTTTAGTAGTGATATTCAAAGCTTGTGGGAAACAGAAGTCTCAAGGAAAAGTGAGTTATTAAGCAGTAGGATAAGCAGTAGAGTCAATTAAGACAACTGCTTAGGATGCTGCTGGCAAACTACGATCCCTTTAGTGAGAAGTGTTGGGTGTGTGTTCTGTTGAGTGAAAGTAAATTAACACACGATATATCCTGGTTCAGAGGTGGTGTAATCCTCCTACATCCAGTCCCACCCTCTTTCAGATGGATTTCACTAAAGTATTCAGCCCAATACACTTAGTGCCAATCTAGCCTTTACAACACTTAGGCCTAGATTGAAGGTTTTTCACAATGAGTATAACACCACTCAAAGTTACTCAGTCCTTAGACTTTTCTCAATCGATCCAGTGGGGATCAAAAGGTACTCTATCTATCTAACCACACTTTAGGATCCGAACAACTGTTCTCCTAAGTGTTTACAACCACTTGTGAAATGTTACAAGAAAGTTCTAACCTCCAACTATGAACTAAGCTCTAAAAATGTAAAAGTATTGATCTAATCTAAGAGCTTAGTGAAGCATGAGGCTAAGCAGAGAGTAAAGTTGAGTTTGCACTTTCTCTTTTGCTAGATATCTCGTATATGCTTTGATGAAATTATTTCTCTACTTAGGATGCTCAAGCTTGGTTTTGTACTCATGCTTCTACCTATATTTATAGGCCTTCATGGTTGATTAATCTCATCCGTTGGTTGAGATGGATTAATCTTGTGCGTTGAGGGTCTGGCTAGGATGAATTGTACATTCGTCTTCTTGTGCAGGAGCTTTTAATCTTTTTGTTTTCTGTCTTGAATGATTGGGCTGCGGTATGGGTGTGTCTTCAGCCGCTGCAGCTTCACTCCAAGAAATCCTCCCATGCTGTAGGACCATGTACCTGTTTAAGTTTTTAATGCTGGTCAAGTTTTGTCTTCCAATCATACACCTTGATGTATAAGATTTTTTTCGAGCATCTTTAAAATGTGACATTTATTTAATCTTTGAGCCAAATGATATGTGCCGGTTGGATCTAAATATCCGTTTAAGGTAGACAAAAAGTACCTCATTGCATTTTTACTTTTT